TTTCATGCTCACTAGTCACTACCGAAGTTCCCTGGTAGTACTCGGAAGAAGGAGGACTTTTGAGACCGTTCTTCTTGAATATGTCTGCGCAGCGCGTCGCTTGCCACAGAACGGCTTCGTGCTTAGACTGGTCAGTCACTATAATTCTCCCTGTGCCTATCATAGCACTGTCAGTCTGTGAATGAATTGCAGGATTTGCCATACCTGGATCAGCTAGTTTTTGGTCAGGAATTCCAAGCAGACGAGCTTGTTCAGGATGGTGTTCAAGGTAGGTGAGAACCTGTGGGCCACCATGAACCCATTGTTCTGTATGGGTGTCATACCAATAACCGCCAGTAGCGATGTGCTTGGCAGTGTCGTTGCGAACAAATGTCATGCACGTGTCGCGACTTGGAGCTCGTCGATTGTTGTAAATGCATGTAAGACGGAATACATGATTAAACGACTCATAACGCTCAGTCGAAAAAATAATAGCAGGTCCAAAACGTCGAATGTAAGCTGGGAGGTGAACTAAAAAATGGAATTTCGGTTTGCTGATCAAGATACTGGGTGCGCACTGCGCAGTCACATTGAGAAAATCGCTTATCGTTCGAGCTAGCTTTGCCAAGTAGTGTTCGGTGTTGTCGATTTTCGTATGCCAAATGAGAACGACTAACTCTCCAATTAAGGTCCATCCATCAAGAACACTTTTCGGAACGAGATCGTAGACGACAAACGGCATAACTTGCGCGAGACTCTTGAAGTGCTTTCCGATTAAGCCTCCTTTATAGTGGCAAATGTAGTCGGCATTCAGGGACGGCGCATTCAGGCCATCTCTATCCAGTGAGTCGAGACGTGTCTGAAAACGAGTGAGTAGTTTAGCTTTCTCGAGCACAAACGCAGTCTGTCCCCAAAAGTATTTCACAACGCCGAGTAGAACCGTGTGAAGGATCTCAGTAGGAGTATCCATGTGAACATTTATATCTATGTACCAGTGTGAATTCAACAACCCGCATCAAAATCTGAGAACGCTCACTATTCATCCCTAGAAGGGGATTGATTGCGTCCCGGTGTGTCCTACCTTGCAATATATCCAAAAGCTCTTCCTCCAGCTTTGCACGAACTTCAGATTCCGGTAATGCTGGCTGTCCTACATCTCGTTTTCGTAGCTTCTTGCCCATTTCAACAAGCGTATTGATGATGGAAGATGAAGTAGAGTCCCGGATTCCAGTGGTTGATACGGCGGCCACAACCTTCCCTGTGGCTCCTGAACATAATGCGGTCTCGAACTGCTTGAGGACCTGTGATGTCGTTTCTTCGGGTGTTCGGGGTGTTCCTTCCTGTCTCACTCTTAAGATCAATCTATAGTGTTCATATTGAATAACACACCGTAAAAAGACTAACATATCCAGCCTCAGACTCTTTGTATTCCTTTGTCCCGCCAACATGACAAGTCCTGCAAAAGTAATTACAATTCAGCCCTGCGTGGCTGCATTCCTCGGCCTGCATTGGATTGTCCCCCGCAAGAAATAAACCTTCAGGAACGAGCATGACCTCCTCGTCAAATTTGCAGTCCCACGCAAAGATTCCTGAGTCTGCGGCTGCGCTAATCAATGCTTGAGTTGACTAAATGTGGGCAGCATAGAAGCATAGAACGCACCTGATAGACTCCTTCATCGCATGCATCAATTCCATCGGCGCAGCGTGTGGTGATGATGTTACGAATCGAACACAAAACTCTTTCTCCAGCATCTCACGTGGTAGGTTAGCATTCGACATGTAAATCGCGTGATGTTTATTCCACTGCTTTGAAACATTTCCGGAAACGTCGTCCATGAATATAATGAGAGGGACTGAATAGACCATCCGGCCCTTTGACTTTTCGCGTAGAGGATGTGGTGTGAGCTTCAGGTATTTTTCAGATGACACTAGGATTATGCTAAGTAGAGTCGCCTGTAGCTCAAACATGTACTTACTGGTAACCCCGCATGCAAGCTTGTCCACGAGATCCTCAAAGGAATGTCTGAAGTTTGAAACCGGAACGATCTCTTGTTCATCACTGACGATGAAACCGGCCTATTCAACCTGTCAGTATCTGTCATGATATCTACGAGACAGAGTTAGTACATACGTCTGTGTATTGTACCGCACGGCCCATAGCATATGTTTTGTTCTCCTGGCACGAATCCTGTGAGTCCCTGCCATTCACTGGTGCATACGAGGCAGTGAAGAAGCGTTCTGGGACAAAAAAGCCTCCTGAGCATTCCTGCAGAAGTTCGTTGACGAAATATATTTTGCCGTCCACACGAGCCGCCGGAGGTGACGGCAGTTCTAGCAGCATCTTCTGTCCATTGAAAACCTGCGACATTCCATCTCCTCCATCCTCTGGATAATCTTGCATGGAAAAGCGGGTGAGTGGATTCGCGTAGTCCTAAATGACATGGTTAGCATAGGATAGTCTGAGCGCTTGTAGTTTACCTTTGCAATTGCATGCCAAATATCGTTGATGTAAAAAACGTTGCCGGACGCTGAAGTTACTTTCCGCATTGGATTGCCGACAAGTTCACAGATGTGCTCGTTTGACTCCTTGACAGCCTTGAGAGACGGGACATCATGGGCACCCAGCTCCTTGGCCCAGCTGAGTACGGCTTTCTTCTGCACATCCGAAAATGGTAGTCGTGCAGAGCTAAACAATAACGCAGTCAAGAAGTGCTTTGGAAGCACAATGAGCATCCTCGAATCCTGTCAGAATATACACTTACCGCCTTCGACAACCAAGGATAGTAGGCGTCGCCCGGATTAACTTTCATATTTGCCTTTGTCTTCGTACTAGAATCCACAGGAATTTCGTCTATGATTGCGTCAATAGCACGAATGAACACAGTAATGCTAAAAACTTACCCAGTAGTTCAATGCCAAAATAATCGTCATCTTGCATTCCAATCTCGTCTTCGAGAGCAGCTATGGGCGTTGCGATGATCTTATCGCCCTCGAGTAGCGAAGCTTCAAGTTCGTTGAAAAGCTCTCGCCCACCACCGATCTCGTATACATGGTGGTCTAATGCAATGTCCCACAGCGTAGACAGCGGCATTTCTTCTTCGACAGGTGCAGAGATAGATGTTGTCGGTTTGTTGTAAGCGTCGTCGTGACAGTCAGCAACCATGTCAGAGGCGTCCGAGTCAATATCGGATTCACAGTCGGTCGTCTGTGTGGGTCGTCGAGATTCTGGAGGGAAGGGGTTTTTGGACACCGATATTCTCCCAGAACGCTTCATTAATAGGTGTCGGATATGCACGGCAGTGTTGCAGTGACTTTGGATATGTCTGCGCATCATCGTCCGCAATTTACCCTTGAGCTGAGGGCAGACTGTGCAGACGACAGAAGTCCGCGCTGGATTACAGTATTGTAAAACTATAAATACAAGAATTTTAATAACTCAATGACTCTTAAAAGTACTCACCTGTCCCATCAACAAGTTGTGATTCACCCATATTGATATTGACAGCGCTGGCTGCTGGTCGAGACTTGCCAAAATGATAAGTCCAATTGATCACGTGTCTGCTTCGAGTCACAGTTGTGACGGTCACCAAACGTTCAACATTCACTCAACGCTCAACGACCAATCAACCTGCAAATTGTCGATAATATGGATCAGTGCCATTTTCCAACCACCTGTACTAATACTGCACCATCCTACACAGTTCAAACTTCAACGTTCTACCCACCGATCCGCACGCGGAATACAGAAGATGTGTCGTTGCAACCTTTGTGCATCGGAATATGTTTTTCAGGTGATCTTCCGAGACACCTTATTCGCGGTGTCGTTGTACTTCTCCTTCCTTCCCCTTCGAAATAATTCCTGATAAACCTTTTTAGCCAATCCAAATATCAGTTTCAATCGCAGAGGAGTATAGACCATATATGACTCCTGTCGTGGAAGCTCTCACTTTGGACGGATATCCCTATTCCGAATGTTCCTCGACTTTTGACGATGTAAGTGGGCAACTTTCTCATGTCGGGATCAATCTAAAAATTCTAGGCCCTTGATTCGAGCGAAAAGGGACACGAACTATCTTACAACAATGTCGATGTCGATATACCCATACCGTTCCTCCCGTTGCCGTCGAAATTCAATCCCGTGGATTCCTTTCATTGGTTGCAGCTGTCAGAGAAGATTCAGCATTGGCTGGTCACCATACCGGCAGCATCGCAGCATTGGACATGGGGCCGTGATGCGTTCTGGCTGGCCTTTGTAGGTGCTTGCCCAGATTTTCCACGCGGCCAGTGGCCAATGTGGGACCCAAGGATTCCCCTCGAGGGACAGTTCATTGAACATTGGCTTGACGCTGACAATTTGGGTGGAGATCAAATTGGGGAAAACTTACTAGATCACATATGGACCGAGTTCTGTGCTCACGCGATGCTTTTTCACCCCGACCCTTTGGTATCAGTTGGTTCGGAATAAATATTTCATCGTGTTTAACTTGTCGCGTTATATAGTGTAGATTTACTGGCGCTGTGGTTCAACTTGACAATATTGTTATTTGATACTTTGGTTAATGTGACTTGTTGTTTTGACTTGCCCAGCTGAATCCTGGCACGTGTACTTTGAGTCTTTGACCGTTGCGAATATTTTATGAGTGTTTTCATGCGCAGTTATTATGAATATATCGTGAATACGTCGTAAATTCGTGAGGCTTACATCCAATAGACGTGCAGCTCGAGATATCATCCTTACAAGTGGGATTACATCCGACTGATGACCCAAAACTGACGTGTTGATGATCTCCAAATGAGCTAATCATGATATTAGTACGATTTCTTAGTAACATTTTTCTCGCGACACTGAAATGACATTTAGAAAGTGATGCGAGATGATATATTTTGATTTTGTACGAAATTGGCTCAGAATACCCAAGCTTTATGTCTGACGTACACCCGAGTTATCCTTTTTGCACTATATTCGGATTACAAATTACAGGGTTTGCCGTGTAATACCAAAAGATGAACCTTGAACCTTTCCAAGTTTGACTCAATTGACCTTTAGTTTTTCTTTCGCTGGCAGGTTCAGCTGAGCTGAATCATAACAGCATAGAACGACAGGCATACGTAGACCGTTTAGTCCTCTCAGCTCTTTTCCTCTATTCATAATGATCTCTTCAACAATCCGCACTGCGTTTCGTGCGCGACCGCCGCACTTTCGTCGACTTGTTCCAGTGGGCAGGAACAGAAAGATATCCCACTCGGTAGCCTCACAATATCCTACAAACACTTTAACATCAAGTCAGGCAAGAGATGACACTACTCTCGTAGAAACGGAAAAAGTAAAACCAGGTCATGCTGTCATTTCCACATTCGATTTGTTCAGCATCGGTGGTGAGTCCTTGTATCATTGCGTTTTGAGTGCGTGAACATGAGACTGAATGGATGATTTGCTTGTTCAGTGGGCCCAAGTAGCTCTCACACAGTTGGGCCCATGCGCGCTGGCAAGATTTTTATTGCTGACCTGCAGGAATTGCAAGTGCTGGAGAAGGTACGTGCTTCCGCTCTCCACCTCATACGTTCGAATGAACTTGTTTTGGAAGGTTAAAACTGTGAAAATAGTCCTGTGAGTGCAAGAGCATGATTCTTTCTGCATCAAGCTGACAGTGGAGGTCCGCATGATAGCTATGGATCACTGGCTGCTACGGGTAAATATTGGGATTTCCGAGTTCTGTTCGCTAATCGATAGCTCTCTTCACATAGGAAAAGGGTGAATATATTATTCCACCCCTCCATGATGTCAATTTCTTGCTGTTTACCATTGGAATCCCATTTCTGCAGGCATCACACTCCACAAGCGGTCCTCCTCGGGCTTGAAGGTTCAGACCCTGAAACCATTGACACGGGAACAATCTCTTCCCGTTACGAAGCTATACTCACAAATAGAATTCTTCATCTTGGAGGTATTCGCCGCAT